AAAACAAGGACTCTGAAAATACATCATGTCATTAAGAGTACTTACTTTCTTGCCATTCAGGCATATTTGCAAAGATTTCAAATACATTTTGTGTTGTACATTGTGTACTTGGCATGTCAAAGATAAATAGCAGAAGGTGAATTTCCAAAAAATATACACAGTTGTTTTTCACAGTTCCAACACATAAATACTTGTGCACTGTGTATGCAGCAAATGAGTTTAGTGCCTCTTGCATGTTGGATATCAACAGCCCTGCTGTTGCTATATGTTACTCTTTAGCCATTTGTGCAAATTCCCTTAAGATTAAATGTCTTCAAGTTTCAATTGACAAGCATATTTGCCAAATAAATGACAAGTTTACTTTGCCAATGTTGTGGTTTGGGCCGCTCCGGCAACTAAACTCCACACAGCTGCTCACTCACCCTCCCCCTACCTGGGGATGAGGAAGGGAATTAAAGGAGAAAAGGAAAAGAGACCTGTGAGTTGAAATAAGAACAATTTACTACTACTTCTACTAATATATGAATGTATACATATATGTACAATGATAAATATATATAAACGAATGACGTACGGTGTAATTGCTCACCACCCCTTGACTGATGCCTGTCTCGTCCTGAACTAACGATACCAAAACAGATAAATCCCGGACGAGCGAGAGGCCCGAAAATAGAGACCGAGACTGAGAGTACTCTGATAGTCCGAAAGTGAGAGTCCCAGAAGAGCAAAAGGCCCTTCTTTCCGGCTGACCCTCACTTTTATACTGAGCATGACGCTGCATGATATGGAATACTAATTGGCCAGTTTGGGCCTCAATCCTAAATCTAAGCACAAATCATAAGGAGAGTCGTGGACCCCCCCATCCCGGCTATGCTTCCCCTTATCCTGTTGTGCTCCTGCCCACTGGCAAGAACACGGCAAGCTGAAAAGTCCTTGAGACCTCAGTGCCAACTATAAACATCAGTGCGCTGTCAGCGTTCTTCTCAGAGCAAGTCTCAGACTAAAATCAAAACACGGAGCTCTTCTGGCTGCTAAAGAGAAGAGCTAACTCTGTCCCAGCTGAAACCAGGACAGCCAAATCCAAAGTTGATATTGTAAATCAGCTCAGGTGTGATATGTTAAATGTAAGTTGAAATTAGCTGTTTATTAATAGGTTACATACAGTTGCTTGCCTACCTTTTAACGATCTCAAGTTATAGAATATTTCATTTGAACTATAACGTGTCTGGAGTAGTTATTGGTAGATGTTTCCAGCCCTCTTCCAGCAGAGGTATGCATGGTACGCAAAATGATTTACTGGCTGAAGTAACAGTATTTGACTTTTTCCTAAACATAAAATATGATCCTATTTGGTGGTTACTATTTCTGATTTTGTTTTGCTACTGGCAGTTTTTGTACAAAGTTGCAGCATTTTCTAATTTTCAGTTGATCCAGAAACTTTTAAGAAGAAATCACAGTAATAACAACCGTTAGAATAAGATTATCATGTTAATATTCCAATTTTAGCCAGTTACTATAATATTTTCTTTTTAATATATTTTTAATTGAGAAAGTTATTAATGATTCATTGCTACTTTTTGTCTTAAAAATGTGTCTTTCACAGAATATGATACATAACAGATATAGGCTAATCTATGTATCTGTGGCTTTATATGAGTACACTTTTCAAAACCTTTTCCATTATCACAGTTTTAGGTGAGTTACAAAGTGGATAAGAAATATTTTAATAAAGATTCTCTGATAAAGGTTAATTCAGAAAAAACATTTTTCTTTTTTTTTTCCAGGTACATCTATTTTGATTAAAAATAAAAAAAGCTTTCTTTATTTCAGAAAAGAATTTCAGATTGCAGAAGAATGAGAGATTACATCAGAGCAGTCAAATACCTAACCTGATAGATCACAACAGAATCATCAATAATTTGGGGATTCACCAGAAACTAGTGGAAAGATTAAAGATGAAGCCTATGATTTGAACAAAAAAAAATCAAATTTAGGTTTTTTTTCATGTTTCATGGTATTCATTAATCAATCAGATATTTTCATGGCGTTTTCTTTTTTATTTGTGAGCATTATTAAAAGATAATGAAAAAGATCTTACATTCTATGATTTCTACAACAAAATTAAGAAAATTTTTTGAACTTTAATCATATGGTTGAAAATACGTATTTTCTTTCTGGTCAGCCTGAATTACAAAAAATGTATCTTGAAACATTTGTAAAGGAACTCATATTTTCTGTAAACTCTGTTCTCTCCTATACAATGAAATACACGTAGAGTGGGATATAATTGATTGTGCTAAAGAAAAGCTGTTTTGCTTTTTGACACTGCTTATAAAGAAAGACAAGTACTTCAACTACAAAAAGACAGTTGTTTTGTATCAATGTGAGGTGCTCAATTAATACAAAATATCTGGAAGGATATTAATTTTTTAAAAAAATATTACTGTTTCATTTACCAAGAAATATGTGATATTAAGATTCGATTTCTTCTAGATTTCTTCTTCAGGATAAGGATATAGGTGAATGAACTAATAATGCAATTTTTCTTAACATCTTGGATTTCTTTTTTTATCAAAATAAATTTCATTTTTCTATGCTGTAGCACTTCAGTATTGATATTATTGCAAAATATATTTTACTGTTAATAAGTGAAATATACTTTAAACTTGAATTCAATACTAATATTATTTGCCCAGAAACTCCCATGTTTTATTGTGGAGCCTTTGTCCTGTTCTGATGTAACTACACATCTAATTGCACATAATTTAAATGTGAACCAAAAATGAAGATGCTTTTCTATTTTCTTTTAATAGAGAATGAAATATGTGTCAGCCTTACATCTAGTTATGGGTTTCAATTTAAATTCTTATAGCTAGACTTACAAATTTTATGGCTAGAACAACACATGTTATACAGAATATTAATTTTTATACTAAGAAGATAAAGAAGTTTTATGTGTGGTTTTGTCTGCTTTTTTCAAACAATTAGAGCAAATCAACTACTTGTGTACAGCATGTCCTCTCAGTCTGGGCTCTCTTAACTCTCTCTACTTCTCTGGGGTATCGCACACACGTTTGTATATGTGAATATGCCAAACTGACTGTTCCTCAGTGCACTTATGTTCTCATTTATACCTGTAAATAAAAGTATTTCTCCTCCCTTCCAAATAAATTGCAATCCTTGGAACATACAGAAGTTTCTCCAACTTGCCTGTACTGGCTTTTGTACATAGAAACATAGAATCATAGAATGGCATAGGCTGGAAGGGACCTTACAGATCATCTAATCCAATCTCCCTGTCATGGGCAGGGACGCCTCTCAACTAGATCAGGCTACTCAAGGCTCCGTCCAACCTGGCCTTCAACACCTCCAGGGCGGGGGCATCCACAACTTCTCTGGGCAATTTATTCCAAAGTCTTACCACCCTCGTACTGAAGAATTTCTTCCTAAGATCTAATTTAAATCTGTTCTCCTTCAACTTAAACCCATTTCTCCTTGTCCTATCTGTGGACACTCTTGTAAAAAGTCCCTCCCCAGCCTTCCTGTAGGTTCCCTTCAGGTATTGGAAGGCAGCTATTAGGTCCCCCTGAAGTCTTCTCTTTTCAAGGCTGAACAATCCCAGCTCCCGCAACCTGTCCTTGTAGCAGAGGTGCTCCAGCCCTTGGATCATCTTTGTAGCCCTCCTCTGAACACGCTCCAACAAATTTATGTCTCTCTTATGGTGGGGCCACCAGAACTGGATGTAGTATTCGAGGTGAGGTCTCACAAGAGTAGAGTAGAGGGAGAGAATCATCTCTCTTGACCTGCTGACCACGCTTCTCTTGATACATCCCAGGATGCGGTTGGCCTTCTGGGCCGCGTGAGCGCACTGCTGGCTCATGTTGAGCTTCTCATCTATAAACACCCCCAAATCCTTCTCTTCAGGGCTACTCTCAACCCACTCTGTGTCCAATTTGTATTTGTGCCTAGGATTGGCCCGACCCAGGTGAAGGACCTTGCATTTTGACTTGTTGAAGCTCATGCAGTTAGCACTGGCCCATTTCTCAAGCCTATCAAGGTCCCTCTGGATGGCATGTCCTTCAAACAATTACTGGAACACGAGTGTAACAAAGTAATCTGAGCTTCCAAGGATGTGATATTAATCCATCAGAATGTCATCCACAGCTTTTAACACAAACACTCTCAGTTCTCAATTATAACAATAATTAAAGACCATTTATAACAGACATAAATATTAAAAATACATACACATAAGGATTCTGTAATTTTTATCTATATAAAAATTTAACAAACTTACGTTATTTTCATAAAGACAGGGTTTGCATGATTGATACATGGATGGAAACCATATACTTTATTCTCTTTTCTAATAATATGGTAGAATTTTGCTCTGAGTGAAAAATTCATTGTATTCTTAAAATGAGCTGAATTTTTTATTGTTCAGCATTAAATATGCATACTGTGATTTAAATTACAGGACATAAAAAATGCCTATGCCTTGATAGTTGCATTTTACTTGAGTTCATGAAATAAGAAATTGACTTTTACCTTTGATCCAGTTTTCTCCTACTTGAGCTAGATTATAGATATCAGGAGTAAATTATGTTCTTCACCTTCACTGCATTTAGTCAGTGAAGTATGATTATTCACTTGTTATTTGAAGACGATTGTCTTGAATGAAGTGCAATTAGTTATGTTGCCCTTTAAATGTATCTTAATCAAAATGTAATGCAATTATTCGGATCTGTATTAAACATGTAACAACTACATAAATAAGTGAAATGATGGTGCTTTGAGGAGATCAGCTGAGTGATGACACCTTAAAGTTATTATAATTCATATTTCATGAACAAAACCTGTTAATTACAATAATTTACTGTAAAATAACTAAAGTTACATGTAATTATTAATTGAAAAATCTCTTTTATTCACGATGATGAAAAGCTTATTTACAGATTCATCTCTTATTCTAAAATATATTTACTTGTTTTATTTCTTAGGTTATTCAGATAAATTTTGAAGAATTTGATCTAGAGATTGGCTATGACACGCTGACAATTGGTGATGGAGGAGAAGTGGGTGATCCTAAAACTGTGCTTCAAGTGTAAGTCTTCTGCATTTAAAATTTGTATGCATTGCAGAATATCATTAATGTGTTTTTTGATGAGAGTAGATAGTGATTAGAATCAGGTAAATCTCACAAAAACTAATCTTACTGAGCTTCTGAAATTGCTGAACGTGACAGTTTAAATACATGGTTATATGTTTACTGTTCTGAAGTCGGAAAGAGATGAGCTAGACGGCAGAAAAAAAGATAAAGTAAAATCAGAAATTTTAAAAGACATTCTGTACATTTGCATGTAGACATGCATATTTTTAGAGGCTACTGTGCTCCCTTTATAACTGAGTTCCCAAATTAAAATTAAAAGTGTTTAAAATAGTTGAAAATAGATAAATGGAAGACTTACATGCACAAACTTTTGCAATCTCCTAGCAAATTTAGGATGACAAAAGATGTACTATAAGATTATGACCTTTATGTGCTTATTGACTATTGTAGATAACTCAAGAAATGAGTTGGTGTAGTGAAGAAAATTACTGCAGAGAAAATCTGAGTAGGATATTACCTAAACCATATATGATTACGAATCAGACAGCACTGGGTATTAAATATGATTTTTATCCTCCATTAGCATTCTTCTGGAATATGTGAGCTCAGATATATATAGATATATTTGTATATATACTTAACAACCATTGATTAACTTTAGAATCTATATTTCTCAGATAGTTAACTTGTGATAATAACTGGTCTTATAATACTAACAACAATCTCAAGAAGACAAATTCAGAATCTTATTCCTTAATTTGCAAAATTTTGAAGACACCAGCATAATCCAATGATTCTTTTTATTCCCCAATCATTTGAAAATATGCAGAACACTGTAATTAGGTATTACTTGTAATCTATCATTTTATTTAGCTCTGATTCCATTCTGAGCAAATAATTCAATGTCTCATAGGAGAAATGAATGGCCATTAAAATACATTGTACATTAAAATACATATGACTCGATTTTATGAAAAAAAAAAAAAACCAACAGAAATGTTGTTTATTGCTTAGAAGCCATATTTAAGCCATAAGGGATTGTTTGCTATTTAGAAAATATTTTTTTGAAAATACTAAAAAATATTTAGCTGTTACTTTTAAATAAATTGGCCTCTCAATAAGTACCTTATGTTATTAGTTCAAGTGAGTTATAAATTTAAAACACAGATCAGAACAGAAGCAGATGTCATGTTTACTACAAAATGTATTTAGTCAAAAACCAAAAAATAACAAAATTAGGACTCCTTAGAATGAGATTCATAGAATCATAGAATCATAGAATCATAGAATGGTTTGGGTTGGAAAGGACTTCAAAGATCATCTAGTTCCAACCACCCTGCCATGGGCAGGGATAACTTCCACTAGATCAGGTTGCTCAAGGCCTCATCCAGCCTGGCCTTGAACACCCCCAGGGATGGTGCATTTTTATTGCAATATGCAATATTCCCTGCATTATATTTAATGGAAATGTATTCATAATATTTTTAGATTTATCCTTTCACAGCATAGACTGTCTGACCTTCTATTTGGAATAATTTTTATAATTGTTATATCCCTTTTTATGAATGAAGAGCGTTTCATCAGGTACCTGAAATATCAGGATTTCATCAAGTATTTCAGGTACAATTACTTTAGGATAAATGCAGTTTCTTCAGTGGATTGTAGATGTGCTAAATGTTACTAATAGTAGTTTTGAGAAGTGGGGAAGTACTGTAATTTCTATTTTATAAACAGTAACAGTACTAAGCCTTCCAAATATATTTCTGATAATGCTGGAATTCGATTTCAGATGTTCTTAGATTTCTAAAATATATTGATTATCCTCTCATGTGGAAAGAGCATTTATTAAGTACCATTTCACCAGGTCTAATTAACATATAATTAAGGTATTGTTTTTCATTTGTGCTTGAATTACAGTAACTCACAGTATGAAGGCACAGTATGAAGTTATTTGAAATGTTGAGTAATGTAGTAAAGCACTCTGTCCAGATTCTATTTCACAGAAGATGTCAGTATTTTGCAAAAGTATGTCCCATGATGAGACCTTTGTTAGGAAGAAATTACAAAACTACAGCACAGGATTAAACTTGTCATCCACACCTCAAATACTATGTTCAGTTTTGGGTCTCACACCACAAGGAAGACTTTGAGGTGCTGAAGCATGTCCAAAGAAGAGCAATGAAGCTGGTGAAGGGTCTGGGGCACAGTTCTTCTGAGGAGAGGCTGAGGGAACTGAAGTTGTTTAGCCTGGAGAAAAGGAGGCTCAGGGAAGAATTTATCATTCTCTACAGCTACCTGAAAGGAGGTTGTAGGAAGGTGAGTGTAGATCTCTTCCCCCAAGTAACAGGTGATAGGACAAGAGCAAATGGCTAGAAGTTGCACCAGGGGAGGTTTAGATTGAATATTAGGAACAATTTCTTCATTGAAAGGTTTGTCAAGCAATGGAACAGGCTGCCCAGGGAAGTGATTGAGTCACCATCCCTGGAGGTATTTAAAAGATGTGTAGATGTGGTGATTAGGGGCATAGTTTAGTTAACAGTTGGACTTCATAATCTTAAAGGTCTTTTCAAATCTAAATAATTCTATGATTCTATGCATATAAAGGAATTCTGAGTAATTTTCTTTAATAAAAAAAAGATAATCAGAATTGTCAAGTGTTAACATAAGATAAGAGAATCTGTTCTGTAGATAATCAGGTAAATAATTTTGAAGAATTCCCTAATTAATTTGTGGGGTTTTAGTATTACATAACATTGTATAGTCAGCCACACATATATTATTTTTATTTACCAGTGGAACAATCACTGATTATTCTGTGATCAGAAAAATCAATGTCAAAGTTATTGGGATTGAAACATTTTTAAAAAAATTACATCGAAGATGGGACATAATAGAGTACTGTAAAAAATTTGTAAATCTCTTCTCCTGTGAGCCATGAAGACTTTGTCTAAGATATGATGCATAGAAAATAAATCAGCTATTGTATGATTTAATTTTGAGTTTTAAATTTTAAAATAATTACCTTTCCTCCAGCAAATTAATGAAGAACATCAGTTTGAATATATCTGGTTTATGTGTAAATGATGTGAAAACGTTCTTCTTCCAATTTATCAAAGTTAATCAGGAAACCTACCCTAGTGTTTAATCCACTAGTTTTACTTGGCACTGCTAGATGAGAAGGTTCAGAACCAAAAACTGAATTTAAGTGGCATTTTGATAGAATCATAGAATCATAGAATGGTTAGGATTGGAAGGGACCTCAAAGATCATCTAGTTCCAACCCTCCTACCATGGGCAGGGACACCCTCCACTACACCAGGTTGCTTAACGCCTCATCCAACCTGGCCTTGAACACTTCCAGGGATGGGGCAACCAAAACTTCTCTGGGCAACCTGTTCCAGTGCCTCACCACCCTCTGAGTGAAAAATTTCTTCCTTATATCTAATCTAAATCTCCCCTCTTTCAGTTTAAAGCCATTGCCCCTTGTCCTGTCACTACATACCCTTGTAAAAAGTCCCACTCCAGCTTTCCTGTAGGCCCCTTTAAGTACTGGAAGGCTGCAATAAGATCACCCTGGAGCCTTCTCTTCTCCAGGCTGAACAGCCCCAACTCCCTCGGCCTATCTTTATAGGAGAGGTGCTCCAACCCTCGGATAATCTTCGTGGCCCTCCTCTGTACTAGCTTCATCAGCTTCATGTCCTTCTTGCGTGTGGGACTCTTATGCTTCCTAAATTGAGACTTGGAGTCCTGATAATTCCTGCTCTGCTGGTGCTAATCACAGAAGTAGCTAAGCTCCTAAGCCATTTCAGCATTTGCCATTAAGATTCCCTGGATGCCTATAATTCTGTTCCTACGTATCTGCATCCAGTAACGTGACAGATGATCCAGGCTAGTGAGCCTAATACCTAAGTGAACTTAAATCTGAATGGAATACATTTCTTGCACATTAGACAAGTTGAATAATATAAAGGTATTCTTAGTGCTTTCCTATGGAACTAAGATCTTTGCAAGATGGAGCAGTGTTACGTTTTATTACCAAGAGATAGAGAGGAAGAAGGAAAAGAAATGATGGGTCCTCCTTCATACATCAGTCACAGCAGTCTTTCAGGATGTTTGGAGGTTTGCTGTCAGCAGCTTGGTCTGACAGTTGCTGCAGGTGACTTTTAATGTAATATGCATCTAGGCACCGGTTCCTGTAACACACATTTGGAAAATCCAGTGCACAAGGCATGAAACTCATTCTTACTCTTTTATTATGCTTGCTGTGTTCAATGTACATGTATCCAATCTCCCATATTACAGACTTTATCTTCAACAAATGGAAAGTGTCACAATGTTCTGAATATCCTCTAGCCTAGTCTTCAGTCCCCTCTCAGAGGGAATGTGTCATGTTTAAAAACCGTGTAGATTTGGTGTTGAGCAATATGGATTAGGGACCCTGACAGTGCAGGGTGAATGGTTGGACTAGATGATCTTGAAGGTCTCTTCCAACCAGACGATTCTATGATTCTATGATTCTATGATTCTATGAGCATGTGGGAGGAGTAGTTCTGCGGTCCTAGAGGAAGAGGTGGAAAACACCCTGCTGAGTCTTGTAACTGTTAAGCTGTTTAATAAAGAGGCATCATAATCATCCATCTATTTCTGCTGTGGACAGTGTTCACTGCTCAGCTTTTGAAAGGGGAGCTGTAAGAAGCTACATGCAGGAGAGGAATCTAGGTAATGAATCCAGGATAGAGGAAGTCTCATAAATCCCAGGAGGAAAGAAAGGATAATTCACAACCACAGAATTTCGTTATTATCTTAAATAGCTTCCTTCACATAATGCTGTTTATTCTGGATCTTACTGCTCTATGGCCCCGAATTCTTCCCAAATACTGTACAGGAATCCCTAAGCACTTAAAAAAAGAGCAACGAGTGATTTCTGTGTTCTGTTGATTGATTCTAACTTTCAAAAATGCATTTTCAAATGGTATTTTTTCCTCATTTACTATTCAATTGAAAAATATTGTTTCTGAAAACTGCATGCATTTAAAAAAGATTTATTTGTAATTGACTTCAGAAAATAGAAATTATAAAATTTTTGATGACTGTTTATCACAGGAATTATTCTCTCTGACACAACAAAGATATTAATATTCCCAATGTATTCCCAAAATGTACTCTCAGTCACAAGTGACAATTACAAAACTCTGTTAGCCATTACATCAGTGTTGTTTCTAAGGAACATCCTGTTAATCTATTAATTTGGCAAAGACTGAACTCATTGAAGACACTTTCCCTTAGTGCAGGAATGAGCAGTTAGTACATTATTTTGGCCAGGCGTTTACTTGTTCAGTTCTGGCAAGAGTCTTTGTAGTAGCTCCATCTGTGAACACAGATGTGGGAAATAGACATGAATTTCTCCCACAGCAGAGTACTTCATACAGAAACAAGCTAAAAAAGACCAGAGGGGAGAACTAAAATTAACTGCAAAATTTATTTAAAATAGTCCACTTGAAGTTTCAGCTAGTTCTGAAGAATGGTTGGAACTGCAAAACCCAAACAAACAGTTTTCACTCTTATACAACCTTGTGCTTGTGATCCATTTTACAGGAATGGAAAATGTTATAGTACTTTCCACCATTCTGTTTTAGCTGATAAACTCTTAACAAATTTGAGACAAAGTTTTGGGAAAAAAAAATCAATAAAATATAAAACTGCAGTTTTGACAACATTTCCTTTTTGCTATCACGCTACTTCATTCAGCAAACAGAATGAACATTTACGATTGTATTGACTTTCAAATTTTTGCAAACAATATTTAGTTCTTTCTAATTAATCAACATGCTTGAGAGTTGTATTTGCTAACCAGCCAGTAGATAACTTATGTGGTGTGAGATGAATAGAATGAATTTAAAAACAAGCAAACAAAAAACATAAAAAAAACCCCATAATAGTTACTAAGATTCCTTACAAAAAGAAAAACAATAATCTAGTTACTTAATGGATTTACAGATTTTTTTTTTTCTATCTATAGGTTAACTGGGAGCTTTGTACCAGACTTAATTGTGAGCATGAGCAATCAGATGTGGTTGCACCTTCAAACAGATGAAAGCGTGGGCTCAATCGGTTTCAAGGTTAACTACAAAGGTAACAATACGTTATTGAAAGCGAATTTAATGGTGTACCAAAAATTTGACCAATACTATGAATTATTTTTCTTACATATTAGGAGATGTATTCTATTTCCAGTTCTGTCAGCTTAAAAAAAAAAAAGAAAATGCAAACTGAATTGAAAAAAATACAAAAATTAAATTTGTTCTCTTTAAACCTGTTATGTCATGTGAAATTGTGGATTTTTTATTTGGTGTATTCTTACAGCAGTTGTTTTTTGGCATGTAGTTTGACATTTATTTCCTATTACTTCATGTTGAAAAATATTAAAATGAAATAATTCTATTATTTAAAGCTAAATGTGTTAAGGAAATGAATACTTCCTACATTCATTTGAAACTTAATCATGTCTACTACAACAGAAAAAAAAGCACTGTAAGCAAAGAATTTGGATTACCTCTGAGTTTTGGACCAACACAAAGAAAAACTTATCTAATAATGTTGTTTTTTATTGGTTTAAAATGTGAGCAATCTGTAATGCATATCATAAAACAGCTGTTGCTAACACTTCTGAGAGAACATACAGTTTTCATATAGTGTGAACAGCAGAATCAAACAAAAAATTAAGAATAACATAAATATATGCACATCTGTATTATTATAGAATTAGTTATATTCATTATTTTTATACTATAATTTACATAGCTGCATGTATTTCTTGCAACAAATTTTTAGATTGCATAGTTCCTGCCTACCACCAAAACCAGGTAATAGAAAGTATGAATATTCATCAAAATTATTCATCAAAAGGGAGAGAGGAAAGACAAAAGTTAAAGCAACAACTGTGTATATTAGAAATGGAGCTAGTGTTGTTGAGGATGGACAGGTGGAGTGAATAAGCATACTGGGAGTAAACCTGCCCAGTGCGACTTGCTGGTTTTTTCTGTCCATAACCTCCCTTTGGCTGTTCACATATATGAAGCTCTATAGTGGTATGGCACGAATGTGCTTTTGTGCTGTTGATATTCGAATCTAGTGGACTAAACCAGAAAGATCTTACTACTTTGTTGTATGGTAGTTATTAAGATCCAGGATTTCCACATTCCAGCTGTTGAGAGGGGCAAGAGAAATGATTAGTATAAGCAAGTTTAAGAGTTTGTTAATATAGCAAACTTTGAACCATAGCTGAGTAGAAAAGGAAGCTTTTTAGATCTGAACTTGAAATAATTTGCAGAACACAAAATAATTTGCACAGTTCAAGTAGTTGTTTCCTTTATTTACAGGATTCTTTTCTAGTAAAATTAATTTCACTTGCAACAGTTTAGGTTGCTGAACAGAGGATTATTGTCTAGTGTCTTACAATGTACCACTATGTCTTGTTTTATTGATGAATTACATTTATTCTTAGAAGATATAGTTCTGCAAGAATAAAATTAATGGATTATGAATGGGTAGAAGGGGACAGAAGGGGTAAACATTCACTGTCTCATTTCCATATAATCAACTTTGTGATTGCACACCTAGATATCAAGTCTCTATTTCTCTCTTGCCCTACACTGGTGCTTTACACTAGCTCATTAAATAGCATTTGAATGCATCAAACATTCAATGGATAGGTACTTCTTGGCAGGTTTTTTGTTTGTTTTATTTTTTTTTTCCCCCAATCTAGAGCATGGGATAATTTTTTATATCAGTTGCCTTTGCTTGATCCCCGAGAGGCCATATTCCTTAGAGATGCCAGAAACCAGGCAATGTTCCCTTAAATAAAATCGAAGCAGGGGGTGGAGAAGGCATTGTTATTTTGTTTGTTTATTTGTTTTTCTTTGTTTTTCTTTATATTTAAGTCCTTTCTGTTAATGATGATAGGCTCTGAAAAGAATTGTCTAAATGGGTAGTATTTTGGATAAGCAGCTGTTTTGCAACTAAAATTTTTGAACTTATGAATTACTTGATAATGTACTCAATAACAGTACTTGCTAATAGCTAAAATAATTTCCCACTGAAATGTTTTGATTCCTAAATTTCTGCTTTGGTACATCCTGAGACTCAACTACGTACAGATGTGCACGCCTCATCCCATGAAAAATCATAAAGACATTCTTTAACCTAGTAGACATTTAGGTCTGAGTCTGCCAGGCATTTTAAAGAATATAGTTTGTCCTGAGTCCTACATGGAATATGATGAGATGAACAGAAGGTTGTGGGATGTCATTACCCAGTGCCCTTTACCCATTGTCCCCCAAAATGGTGGTCAAGGTGCGAGATAGAAGGTCACATCCTTTCTGACTGGAGTAGAATTGACTATGTTATATCATTTGTAAAGAAAGAAATAGACAAATTAATTTTTAAATACCTCTGCATTCTCTAATTTAGTAGGGTTTCAGCTGAAGAATTCTTTTAAATTTACATTATTACAGGACATTTATGGATCTGACATTTGAGAGACTCTAGTAAGTCTTTGTGACATAATAAAAATATTTGTGTTCTTCTGGATTAAGATATTGCATATGAAGTTATTTTATGGTTTTAACAGCTAGATTCCAGTATAATTATTTAAATATAAAAGAGAAATTTGAAGTAAATAAATATTTTAAAGTAAATAATTTTTTGTTGTTGTTGTTTTGAAATTCCTTTTCCAGTATCCCATAAAATAAAACTCAGGAAGGCAGAACAATAAATATCAGGAACAGACAGGACAAAAATGCAAACACTGCCTCATTAGAGATGTATTTTGCGTGTTGTTTCACTGTTGTGTAAGCTGTTTTCATGCTTTAAATGTACATGTAGATTTTTTTAATGTAAAAACATGGAATATTTAGCAATCTGAAGTTTTAAGCGCATCATTTCCAAGTCATCATTTTAGGGATTATTTGAAAACCATAGTCGTTCTTTTAGATATGAGATTAAACTGTGGTGCTCACATAATTACGAAATAAAACAAATGAACAATGGATTCTTTTTAGGCTTTCCAAATCAGTGCTATGGAAGAAAAGTTATTTTCCAAGTAACTGGCTACACACTAATAAAACCTTTTAAACCAGCAGGTTCTCCTGACAGCTCTGCCTCTTATCAGGACTAAATCTGTGTGATTTTGTTGTTACCTATAATAATACATCAGATGTACTCTTATTTTAATTACATAAGAAAATAAAGTTGAAGAAGTTTACGTTACCTGGAGTCTAACAGTGTTCTGGAAGAGGCTTGTCTAAGATGCCAAGCTACATAGGAATGTAGGTAAAAAGTGAATTTGGAGCAAAGTAGATTTGCTTATTCAATTTTCTGCATCGATGATCTAATTTTAGGATATGGGATTTACACTCTGACATCCAGTATTTCAAAAGACTTCTTTTTGCTTAAAGCATAACTTTCATCTCGCTTCAACCAGTGTGATTTGTGTTCCTGAGTGCTTGGGGTACTATGGCAGCCTGGTGTAGCCTTCTGGCGTTTAGGATGAAATGTGTATTGTGTTTTCCTAGCAGTAAGCATTGAGATGCAGACACATCTGTGGTCTTTTGTTACAGACGGCACAGAGAAGCTTCTCCATGACTAACTGCTCAACAGCACTTGCTTTTCTGTCCATGACAGAACATTGAACAATCTGAATTACGTAGATAGTCTAAGCCAGTGTTAGTCCACTAACTATGGTTGAAAACATGTATTTTGGAAGTATGTGAAAAGTAAGATACATTATCATAAAAAAGGATTCAGGTTCTCATCTTAACAAGTTATGATAGTAGCTTATCTATGAAACATATATCTTCATGTCCATTCTACTAAGAAAAACATAGCTTTAATTCTTGTTCATATTATAGACTAATTTTTTTAAAAAAACTTAAATTACTGAACTCATATTGTGGAGAGTTTCTTTGTGTAATTTTGGGTTTCATAAAATGGGATTTTGTTTGTTTGTTAAATACTATCTAATCCTTCTTTTATGAGGAAGGGGGAAGTGAAGCTTTTGTACTTTTTGCACTTCAAAATCAGGAAGTAAATCTGTGTCACGCTTCTCCTTTCTGAACTGTTCAGTCTTATCCATTTCAGTTTATATTCTTTTGTGGTATTTTCACTCTTCTGATGATTTCTGTTGCCTTTGTACCCACTCTCTTTGTGTTTCTCATCATGTGTTTGTCTTGTTTGCATGTGTTTTGTGGTGCAGTAAGTACACGGCATCATGTAATCATAAATAATGATTTATTTAATTGGATTCTAATACCCTCGATTCTATTCCTTGTGCATCCTAACTTCATTCTGCAGAACGAATGACAGAAAGATACACATTAATTACAAAAATCCCTGTTCTAAATCAATGCAAATGACTTTAAACCTTGTAAGTCTCATGATTAGTTCAAATTCTCAAACATAAATACTTCTTTGTATTTATAAAAATAAATAAAAATGAACACTTCTTTTGGTGCAACTCCACTAACCAATAGATAGTTTATGAACACAGCACAATTTTCTCTGTACCTGATTCCATTTCTGCTGAAAGTGTGTTGTTGACAAGTTCTGTAATTCATGCGCATTCCCATTTCAGATCTCACTTGAACACATTAAGAAAAAGGGTATCCACTGCGGAAACCTGGGGCACCTTTCTTGTTAACTTACTGCTAAGATTAAAATTGGTGCTGTATTTTACTCTGTTCTTCCTTCTTTGTTGGCCACAACTTACTGCAGGGATTTTGGTATTAGACCCTATTCTGTCACTATTATCTGAATGTTTTATTGATCTCTTTATCTAATTCTCAAACAATGTATTAGACGTAAGGTGTGAGAGTTCCTGTTTGCAATCCTTAAACTGTAAGAATATGAGGACAACTGTACAGAGTCATAATAAAGATCCATTTAACTATGTATTACATAAGGAAAAGAGAGTAAGCAGTATGGTGATACTTCTTCAGAATGCTTTCCTATACTAAGTTCGTGGCACAAAGATTTCCTAAATCCAGTCTATTTGTAGTAAGCAACTCTTCACAGATTTTTTTCATCTATGACTCTGTCTATTTTTCTTCTTAAGCCCATGTACACTTTTAGTATTC